GTGTGTGAAGGCTAACAGATCCCAACGCACCTACAGCATATCATGCATTTCAAATGCGTGACTGGGGCAAGCAATGGGCGATTGAGATACACGTCTCTGGCTGATTCACCTGTTGGCCAAACCACCTATCTGCACCATGAGCGTCGTCATGAGCGCAATGGTTACCGATTAAAATGAGTGCATTGACTGCAGTCACGTCAGTGGGATACTATGGGATGAACCACAACAGAGGGCGCGCGGTTCGTACGCCTCCCTATTGAGAATTAATGGATCGGGAACGCGGCCACAGATAATCTTTTTATCTGACATTACGGCTAATCCTAACCTCCCAAAAGTTTTGTTCCACTGAATTCCCCTACAACGTACCACGAATTCATAGTAATGTGCAAAGCATAACCTATAGATATATCCTGATGCCAGGAAACACTGTGGCCCAGGTACGTTGAGAATGGTCGCAGACGCCTCGGAAAAGTCCGAAGCTCAATTTAAAACGGAGTCAATGATTTCCTGTGTCCCCACATTCGCATATGCCAAGATCCAGAGCGAGGGGATTATCGATGTTATTTGCTCACAAGAGTAGAAGAGATCAATTGAAGTTCGCGGGCTGTTTTTGAATAAGGCTCGTTTCGGATTATTATATGTTATGCTACAATTTCTCAGTCACCCTAGAACGTCCTTTTATTCTGAGTACCATGTGCACAACATAGAGCTGTTGTGTTAGGCCTGTTCCAATATCTGAGAACATTCCACTTGCAGCATTGTAGTGATCCGAGATAATAGTGGTCAAGGTGCTAAGCATTTAACTTTCAGGACAATCGATCATAGGTCAACAGTTTTGGCCAATCGAACTGGGATCTTTTGGCTCGGAGAACAGGAACGGTGATTGGTTGACGTCTGTTTAGCCAATGATAGTTCGATTTACATCTTAGTTAATCCCATTGATTTCATTCAATAAAAAGATCACAACTTTGTGGTTTTTTTATTTTATCTCGTTGACAGCGGGCTTCGGCAAACGACTACTAGTGCAATTCGTGATTACTGCTGTCTTATTCATGTATATTTTCAGTATAACAGGCATACAGATTGCAGGCACTATTACGCGGACGCCCCGTAATTGGTTGAAGACTGAAGGTTTTCTACCTCGGCCTGTCGATCCCAGCTCGCTCGCTGCTGGCCGTGTCGAATTCTGATGCTATGATGTATGACAAACCATTCCAAATGAATATATAGACATTTTGTGAACTTTTATTGATTCATTGGTGACCTTTTAAAATAGAAGCATTTACACGCAAACCCCGCAATATAATAGCCGCATTTATTCGTTTGTTGTCTACTTGAGCCGGTTCACTTATTTGTCTTGGCCCAGCGGTACTCGCCTAGTCTTGCAGTGTTCGTAGTCAAGATCTAGTTAAGAATTGGGTCGCTGCAAGTCATCTCAGTGCTCATTATCACTATCTCTCCGCAGCTACGGTAGCTAGCGGCACTTACATCGGGAGAGCACGTTCCACTAGCTTCGTTGTCAGCAACGTAATAAAATGGAACATCGAGATGGGTTCGGTTAATTGCCATATGCCAGTTCTAAGTTCGTATCTCTGCTACCTCCGTTTCCGAGAAAAAATGGTCGATCGCAATTTGGTGTATTTCAATAAACAAATTGATAGCAAGGCTAAAATACATGAGTCAACACTCAAACTCACGAGTGTAGGCCAAATAACCGCAGGAAACAAGTTTCCAAAGCACAATGTACATCGATGATAGAAGACCTATCCGTTTGCTCAAAAGATAGACTATCCAGTGCACCACACAAGGCATTTCTTTCATTATCAGCGTCAACTACGGTGATTTTCTACCAAACGTTCCTGCGGATGGATCGCTGAAAGCATACTTGATTGCGAGAAGCATATTCGCTTTCATATATATACTACTCACGAGTAGTATGACAATGATTTATCAAAATGGTCTTCGTGAATCATCGTGAATGAGTCGATAGCAAAAATTGTGAATATTCAACAAAACTTTCTGGAGTAGTCGTTGGAGTCATTGAAACTATTGGATAACTGTGCTCTTACTCTATCGTGAAGGGGTTTTCCTGGTTTTGTGATTCTCTAGCCAATAGTGATATCGTACAGCAGACAAGGGATAGTCGAATGATGGTAATTAAAAAGGATTGTAAGTTAGATGGATTCCCATATTGATCAGAAACGTCTGTTTGAAGTCAACAAAGACCGCTTATTTACCCCACTTGCATAAGTTCCTAGACAACGTTTGGGGAGTTTTTTCCTCATTTTTGAAGACTACTTGTACAAATAAATCATGAGCAGTTTTTCATGACGCTTTAATTTAGCTTGATTCATGATTCATCACGAGGTTTTCCTGTTTTACAAAATAACTAATATAATTTTTATAAGCACAAGGTTCTCGAATGACCTAATCTTTGATGGTTATCTTCATCCCAATATACACAATTCAATACAGGCAATGATTTGGCATTCGCTCAAGGTGATAGATCTTGATCATACTTTGAGATGCTAGAGAATACTTCTCCCAAAGTGACAGCTTGCGATCCAAGTCCCATGAACGATACAAAAATAGTACACATTGATGGTGAATTCCAGCACTTGATGAAACAGCTGTCTATGCTATTTTGTCAATCTCCACACAAAACTATTTTCATTACAAAATACGACACTAATGAACGAAGACGAGGATCTACATCACACTCGTTGGAATATAATTATATCCATTGTGACTCGTGTACTCGTTTATCGCTACCGATGTCATTGTCAGCGAACATTCTATCAATTCATAATTTAGGGATAGATACCCGTTTGCTATCGACTAGAGATCGAGTACTTTTATTGACTTCGTTTCTTCATTCAGCGCGCGTTCACATGTTGGTATCCTATCCTATTTAATTCACAATATTGCACAAAGTCAATGAATCAATGAACCGTTTACTCTTCATCTGTTGACCTGTGTGATCAACAACTGGACCGTTCCATTACCTATCCTTTATGTGTGGTTCCATTCTGAAGATCTGTTTCAAATGAGATATTTTCTTGTGTGAATGCCAATTTATCCATATCCTGACCGTTATTTATAGTAAAAAACTATCCTCGACCAGGCGCTGCCTTGTGGAATTATAACACTACTAATACTACTACTACTATTGCTAATATTACATAGGTGAATTCTCCGCAGCACTTTTGAAAAACGGAGATTCGTAGAAATATCACTATTTTGTATAATTGTTCAATATCACCACAGCTATTCGGAAATTTAGAGATTCAATAGGAAAACTGTTTCAAATCAAAAATTGCTTCGCTATCTTCACATTCCAGTTGCAACTTACCGAGTACAAGTGCTCCATTTCTGTAATACCCATGAGATATTCTACACCTGCTTCATTGTCAGCGATTTGATCCTAAACGATACAATTAACAATAACGCATCACATTTGTAACTTGTAAGAAACGGTCACCTACCTGAATATCCTGTAAGTCATCCAAAATATGTTGATGCTGAAAACGAGAATTTGTTGACCAAGTTTGTAATCTGTTTACCTGTGGCAAAATGCTTTCTGAAATCCATGCCGCCTCTTCCCGGGCAGAACGCTGTTCATTTAGTTCGAATTCAAGACTTTTCTGTGTTGTACGGAATTCCGGATTTTCGGCAATTGTCTGAGTGTAGAAAGTCAAGCAAAGGAGAGAGAATAGAATACAGACATAAAAGCCAAGTTATGATTGATGGTTGTGCTGATTGGTTAATCAGGTTAATCTGCTTTTTTGTAAAACTTTTACATGAACAACAGGATCTGTGATTCTAAAGCGTTTACTGTTTTTATTTGAATCCTATCCGGATCGTTTTAATCCCCCCCTCCCAAACAGTTTCATTGGTAGATGATGGCAATACTGTGTCAAGAAGGAGTTTTGAGGTACAAGTCAGCTGTCTCCTTTCGTCAGGAAAGCCCCTGTAGTGATTACCGGTCTTCGAACGTGGTGCCACAGAATCACCTCGGCGGCCAAAATCAAGTTCACTGTTACACAGTTTAAAATGCAAGTGAAAGTTTTATTATGAAAAATACTTGCAAGCGGTTGCTTGTCTTGTCCCATGGTTTTTTTAGCATAACTGGATCGATTTACGGTTCCTTGTTTCGGCTGCTGCTTCGGACGTCGAAATATAAGACTTAACAATGTTTCATCCAGTATGTGCTTGAAATAATCACAATCTGACAGTTTCGACACATTGATTGGAACACATGCTCCCTGAGGTGACTGTTGGACGACGAGACGAACAGTGAACGACATGGGTGATCGGGGTTGTGCATAATTTGATACACCAAAATCAAGTCCCCTCGGTTCCCCTCGAATACTGAGTGGAGAACAACTCCATTAAATCCAATCTTTTTACACAAGTCCCTTGACCATTTTAATGTCATAGATCAGTCCGTCAGAGTGGTTTTAGCTAGAAATTTCTTCTACAAGCATTACCAATCCCATTGTTCATTACATGGTCTCATCTGATATGGCTTGCTCAGTCAATCGATTTGATCTGCATTATGGAGTTCAATCATCTTGGGTACGAACTACGCTTTACTTTAATTAGCGCAGATTTGTTGTTACATATTAATTCTTGACACTCCAAAGAAATAGTTCTTCCTATTACATTCCTTCTTGATCAAGTAACAGCTATAATCCTATTAACGGTTACGGATCACTTTCCCTGATCAGTGATTTTTTCGGTAATCTTGGTTCTGTAAGGGTTGACAACCGGGGCAGTAATATTTTATCGTGAGTGCTTATACCTCACTTAACCCCGTTTTGGGTCATGATGATTTGTTCTCTGTGCTTTGCAGGTTTCACTTCAACCCCGATCAACGGAACAGATCTGTCTGCCAGTGTTTTCTCACAGACCCCTGTCTCACATCCCTATCGTCTTTCCCCGCTTTGGTCGTCACCCGCAAATCCTCATATCATCTCCAGATGCGATAATACGAGCCGAAGCATATCCTGTCGTTCACTCTGCTGTGCTATAATAGCCCGGGTGGAGTACTTTCGCATTACAGTTTCACTCACATTCGAGTCCGTCAGGCAGATATTTTTCCCATTCTAACTTGATGCAGTTGACTGAGTGAGCAAAGTTCAAAAAGTATTCATGATATATAAAATTCACACTATGGCCTATCCAGAAATACCATTCCAGACATTGGCTAAATCTGCTGCTCGTTTCGTCTACTTATTCGGTTATGGTATGTGCTCTTCCCCGTTAGTGATCAGGATGTGTATTTGGCATCCTGCAAGCACAATACCCAAGGCGAAGTTGATTTTTCCAAGTCAATGGTTAAATTGATAAATAAACCCAACAAACAGTAGCACACCAAATGGCATGATTTCACGCAGCACGCAAGACAGTCCAGAAAAACGGAGATGGGGGTGACGAATGGGGTGCATCAAAAAGAGATGTCGTGCACATGGCGTCCAAAGTGACGCCAGTTGGAAAAACAATACTATCAATTCCTGATATTCAAAGGGCAGCTGAAGGGGGGAACGCTATGTGCGCGAATTGTTCATCTTCCGCTTTGTTGTTTGTTTATGAATGAAATGCAGACGTGGCACTTCCAGTTCCCAGTGTATTATTAAGAATACACGTCTGGACCAATATCCTCATCAACGCTTTCTTCTATACTCAAACAATACCCCTTGCCACGAGGTTTGAGAAAAACCTACTACGAGTAGCATTCTAACGGGCTATTCTTAACAAAACACAATAAAACTTAAATCGTTAGAACTGTTCAATTGCGGAAACCTGCGACCGAAATCAAACCGGATCGCGATTGTGGTAAACAACATCCCGTGAACTGACGCGAGCCACAACGGAGTCTGGCTACATTCAGACGTCGTGGTTCAAGAATGACTCTGGATGTGGGTTCTTACCTCCCACTTTCTGAGGTGAACTGCCACACTGGTTCTGTGGCTGCTTTTGTCTTTGTACAACAATATATAATCATTGCTTAGTCGACTTTAGACAAAAAGGTGCCAAAGTCATGCATAATTTAGTTGCAATCGATCAGTACTACTCAGAAACAGGTTAGTTCATGAAAAACAATATATACAATATATTGTACTGACTTATAGGGCAAACAGTTGGATAGAAAGATAGGCTGCATACGCAGTACGGGCAGATTTGTTTTACCCAGGATTTTGTCAGCAAATGAGGAGAATCGGCCTCCATCAAAGTGGCAACGGGACATTCTTGATGATGTGGGGTCCGCTTTATTTTACATGATCATATGGCATATGCTGGTGTCATTTGAAAGCATGGTACTATGTGTATCGTAAGCATACGCGTTCCATCAGTCGGTTGACGGAAATGATGTTTAGCAATCATAATTTTGTTTCCCATCTAAAGTTTAAAACTGTGAGATGAGTCTCATAACTATTAAGTACCGGTGTCATATCTCTTTGCCGAATTTCCTGCACTAGTCAAAAATGGGTATTGCATATTCGATTTTGTGTTGGCCTAATCCTCGCACTCGCTGATTGTGTTTGATTTGTGATGATCCTGGTGGTGCATCCACACATACACAGAGGGATGGCGGTTCATAAAGCAGCTGGATGTTTGTACAGGTTAGTACGACCTGAACAAGCCAAGGGAAGGTTCCAACTGCATGCATTACTCAAAAGATGCTGACACACATTGGTGGAATAAAAAACGGACGGGGTGACCTTCATGTTCGTGAAGGGCTGCTGTTCAGCGGTGAAAATCGGTAACCCAAGCCCTGGTACTTGCAGTGGCGAACCACATGAGGCCAGATTAGGTTAGACTTGATACTGAACCGGACGACAGCGCAGTTGTCTACCACTAAAGTTGGGTGGCATTTTTGGGGTTCGAATCTCGGACCACAGAGTCCAAAGCATAACGGCGGGAGTGACCGGATCACTGCACCAACACCACTACTACTGTTAGCTATCGAATAAAGTCAGTTCATACTGCTCGATTTTGTTAATTGAATCAAATATCCCTTTGTGATTTTGGCCGATAAAAACGGAAGAATGGCACACCGCTTTTCGCTGTGTATACACACCGTTTCCCGTGGTATTAGATACTTTCCAAAAATGTGATTCAATCACCTCAAATAGTTGCCATCGGTCTGTATTTTCCTTGCTGTCTCTCGTAGTTAGTCAGTCAGTCAGTCAGCTGCAGTCAGTCAGTTAGTCAGTCAAATTATGGAGTGAGCAAGAGATTGATATATCAAGAGAAATCTCACGGAAGGGGAGCGCATTAGCTAATTAACCTAACACCACGGGGACAATGCGTTTGTATTAACCGTTTATTCTATCGTCTCAGAAAAGCTGAAAACATTGCTGACAGTTTTCGACTTTCCCCTATCAAGAATTGTATGTCATGGGGTAATTAGCTAGTTGTTTACTTCGTCAAATCGCATTTAGATCACGTGATTTAGAAAATCCTGTTATTCTCATTCCGATTCGGGTACGTTTAAAATCAGTAGTTCTGAACGAAACTCTAAAAACCAATATTTCTGCCTAAATTTCATTAATCACATGAAAAAACCTTAATTTTGATTTGATTTTTGTAGTAAAGGAGGGAGTTGAAGGTGGTGAACGTTACTCGTCATGTTATGTGCTCAATAAATATATATATATATATATATATACATTGTCTATAGCAAACTGTATCCTCAAACTAGGTTCTTGAAATTCGACACCAGCAATCAATGAATAATCTTGACTGGATCATCAAATAGCAACTGCTGACCAATTCTATTTCGGATTTTATTCTCTGTTTCAGGGTCTTTTCTTGTTCAATGTGTAATGTGCAACAAGTTCTATATTTCTTGATAATCTGATCTCAAGTTTTCTCGGAAAATTTGTGAGCGTTTAAGTAATCATTTGAAACTGATCCGAGAGACTATCTGAGCATTTGTGGTAGATAGCTTTTTCATATTTCTGTTATCTCCTTCGTTATTGTTTATTGAGTTTACAAATGTGTTGTTAACTTTCCAGTGGACGGGAGGAAGGGAGGATCGTATTTTTACAAAAGCTGTTTGAATCAAATGCAGAACTGTGTAGGATGAGCGGCACTGACACTGTTCGAACTCTGGCCATTCCGGTGGCTACTTTGATGACTTTGTTCACCATTGCCAGTGTCACTGATTGGGAAATTGTTGTGTTTTTCCGAACCTTTTTCGATACCCAGTTACACGTTATCCATAAATATATATGTGTGCAACAATCCTTCGAGGGTCATTTAGCAGAAAACCATGCTGAAAATTAGAATGACTAACTCTACGGCAATTTTTATAAATAGTATATGTATATATATCTCTGTTATTTTCACGAGGCTGGAACTGAAGAATGCATCCAAGAAATTGAGTTTTTATCACCATTTTCTTATCACCCTGAGGCTCATCATTCTAGCTAAATATTAATTAATACGATTACTACTACTACTACTACTACTAAGTTACATACCAATAAGATTAGTATAACCTTTAGTTTGTAGCGAAAAGGTATATAGAGTAATGATAATGGTTTATTCTCCCTTAGGGTCTGTATGGCTTGCGTCTACCATGGGTGTGCTGGTTGTCTGTCATCGATGACTCCAACATCACACAGCGAAACACTGTGACTTCTATCACATTATTCAGTGATTTGGAGTGTATCGCACTAGATCGAACTAGATTTGTCAAATTCCCGTTTCTTCACGGTGTGGAACAGATCTGGTCTATTTACGGTATCAATTATTGCATACGAAGTTACACAATACGGAGGGGAAACACCAGAAACACAGCCAGAAAGCAGCCGAGTGTGTGTGTGTGTTGGAAACGGTAACGAGGTTGATTACTGTCACGGTGACAGACTATCCAATATTTTCCGAATCGGAAGTTGAATCACACTGCTCACAAGTGTTGTGTATTTTCGTTTGATTTTTGCCATTGTGCATTTTACAGTCCAGCTAGTATGACTGCATTCTGTGGTACCTTTCGATAAATCTGTGTAAAGATCTGAGTGTTTTTGTTCACTGAGAGAATTCACTCGCGATCGTCTAAATTTTCACGGGATTCTTCCTGTATGGCGCCAATGTTCAGAGTTGGTGCAATTGGGTTTATGACACATGATGAATGCCCATCAGTTAGATGAACCTTAGGTGTGCTGAGCATGTTGTTTAGTCGGAAATTATCGATTGATGGGTATAATTGAATGATACAAAGATGACAATCAGTCTGAAAATGTATTTTAATTCTAGATCGAATTTGAGGGGGGAAATTTAATGTTTTCGATTGATTTTGGTCAAAAATCGCTGCAATAACTGATAACTTCACTGGTAAGTTGCAGAATGTGGTACAATGGAAAAAAGAACTGTTGCTGACATGGTGCCAGCTGTTAAAGTTTCGGCTCACCTAACGTAACCGTTGAACGCCGTCATATTAAAATCACCTCCTCTACGGGTTCTAATCTCAGCCAATTCGGTTAACGTAAAATGACCTCCACCGTACCATATTTCCATTATTTCAAAAGTTTTTATTGGTAATTATTGCATTGATTAGGGATGATTAAATAATCTTAATCACCACAGCAAAATGATCGTTTATGTATGAGTGCATATATCACATCTCTGTGGTTTACAAAATTGCTCATTGTCATTTCACTTTATGACCATTCCTCAGATAAATAGGGTCATTTCAGAAGTTTAATCATATCTAATGTTTTTCCCGAATATAATCATTTTATTTAAGTGAAATCAAACTGAATTATTGGGGTAAAGAACGACAAAAGAATTTCAATAACAATGGGGTTTTAAAGAGGTTTTCTCTGACTGGTCTGTTGTGTAGTAGTTAGATCAGATTGAGCTCATTGATCACGGTTGGTCAAAGTAAATGTCCTCCGTTCCGATCCGAGTGCGACTACAATAATAGCTTTCAAAATCCCGTGACTCAACAAAACTAGTTTCTAATCTGTTATTGGCTTTGCCCTTTATGCTTTTGATATGATCTTTTTCACTGTTTTTTAGATATTCTACTGGGGTTGGTTCGTAAACTTTACGGGGAATACTTGCGTTCAGAATTAGCGTTTTGGGGATTCCACGATTCCATCTGTACACACACGCATACACACACACACACGCACCGATTTACAGCCTGATACAAAAGAACGGATGAGAAGAGTTTTGCTATTCGAACAAACTGCTAACTCAGCTCAAAACGTTTTGAGATTGGAAAAGAAAAGAAGTTGTCTGAAGGTGATTTAAAAAACAAACAACTAATGCAAACAACTAAAAACAAAACAATCAATTTAGCAGTTTATGTTGTACAGAACGGGATTTATTTACCAATCAAATAAGCACTCGATTTTGGCCGGTTAGTCACGTCCAGGGTACCCATTCATTGACCGCTGGCCACAACTATGGCGTCATCTTCTTCTGTGATACACAATAAACCGATTGATTGAGTGAGGATAGCGTGAACTGGAGCCTAGTTAGCTAAAATCGTATCTGCCTGCCCCTGTCGGACATTCGAGTTGACTGATCCACATTACCATCAATTATATCAGTTTCCGAAATGGAACAGTGGTCAACAAAATGCCTCCCGATATCACAAATGATTGGAACAATAGGAGGTGTGGGTGGGAATGGTAACTGTGATGGGATTCAAGTCCTAAGAATGTGAGCAATACATCTCTCCTATTTTATATGAGGTATTTTGTAATTTGTATACAATGAACCTGTGAAAGTTTCAAAAGTTAGACCGTCATTTTTCGGACAATGGCAGATTACTGTGCATATACGAAACATTCCGATCAGAATCAGTTATGGTGTCAGTAAATCATTCGTTTTTCAAATAAAATGGTTTTGCAATATTTCCATTTTCCCAAACACACCCAAACCATTGTGTTACTGATCTAGGTAGATTCTCTGGAATGCTTAAATATGGACGGAGCGTTTTTCTGACTTTGTGTGCACGCGCAATTCTCCGGTCAACCAATCACCCACTCGACAAGTCACAGACTGGTTATTCTCACTCGCTCACTCGCTTGCTCGCTCGTTGAAGCACGTCAGAAGGATGACCGATACAAATTAGAGTCATTCATAGTCACAAGTAATTGTGAGTGACCTGGAGAATGGGTTCTCATCCGATAGGCTTTCTTGATTAAGAATTCAGAAACCCCTTCACCCAAGACCTGATTTTGTGGGAGTAGCGTGCTTATTATTACACAACTGTCCATATATATCTCCTTGGATTGAATAAGACATTTGAAAAAGTTATATACGGTAATTTTTATGCATTGTTTGTTACCGTGGTACTAAAAACATATTTCTTGTGGAAAAAGGTACGGCGTCCTGATCTGGGGCCGGTCGTTGGATAAACACACTTCTGATTAGTTCTAACGAGACCGAAATTTGAGTAAACCGCTGCTCGAATGTTTAGGTGACTGTTTGAAAGGACCGGTGTGTGTGTGTGTACGTGTATAAACGTTAGTTAAAATATCATTTATCAAAAACATCACTGCTCAATTTCATGTGGATATCTTAAGTCGTATACGGAAAGAAACAACAATGGTCCATACGTGTATCTACACACACACACACACACGCACACACATTCACCCAGAGTAAATCCTGGATTGTTCAGTTTACACGTATTTAAAAAAATAACTATATAATTAAGTAGTTATGTTCTTATTGCACTAACTGTATTTTACCGTAAAATTAAGAACCGGAATCTAGGAGTTAGATTAAAGCGAACAAACCAGACCAGATTGGAACTCACTCGTAACGGGATCACATATCGATCCAGTTCGATACGATCGAGCACCCGGACAGAAGCCATATTTGTTCGGAATATGGCAACTGGGCAGGTCCCGAGTAAATTGACGGATAAATGGGTGAGGTTGCGTGTTACTCGATGAGTGAAAAGTGCCTTTGTCTGCTAGAATTGTATATCTCTCTCCGGAGAGGTGTTCGTGTCGAGATTACACGAACAAAGTGGGATGATAACAGTGATAATGTTCAAGCAATCCAACAGTTCTTGTACAATTGAACTGTCCTAATCGATTTTCACAACAAATATGATCAATTAACGAACAGATTGATTGATGTCTTTGCAATTCGTACGCGTTTGTGCTAGTAGGCAATTCGTTTACCGTGTGATTGGCAAAAGAATTGTGGCAAAATGATTAACTTGCATCGGAAAATTTCATTTTATACAAAGCTGATGGTTTAGGCACTGTTGTGTGTGTGCGTGTGTTAAGCTCTGCTCAAATGATGTGTGCATGAGCACGCACACACACACACACACACGCACGCAAACTTACGTGATTAACGATGAGCACCTACGCAATCTCACACATGCACACACACACACACACACATTAGCAGCGGTGAGTGTACACATGAGATTCGGGTGATCAACCAGTGCTTTCACATCATGCCGCCAGTCAAGAAGAAAACCAACAGGGTGCAAAGAAGCACTAACTCTCACAAGCAATCAAGTCTCCCTCTCCGTGTGTGTGTGTGTGTGCGTGTGTGAGACAGAGCTGTTACGTGTAGGTGGGTGGATGGATAAATGGGAGGCTGATGATTAAGTTAAGCTACCGGGGCTTACTTAGACCAGCTGTGACATGGCTCCTGTCATTTTGTGTGTGACTCATTAGCGAATCCTGCAAACTTACACATACGTAACATCGCTCGATTTCCAGCCTTATCGACCGGTAAATTGATCGATCGATTAGTGGGTTGCTCATGCATTGGGAACTATCTGGGCGCTGTGGATTGAAGCTGGTTTGGATAATCCTATTGTCAATGAGGGTTGCCATCTTGAGGCAAATTAGTCATTTGAAGTATCGCTGTCTTCGGTCCCACTTGTCAAATATGACCAGTCAATGGAAATAATCCTAAAACGCGTTTCAATATCCACTTAAACTTTCATTATCTGATTGGAATGTTCCACACAAACACCACGGTTCCAGGAATTGAAAATCACTTGTTATTAATCTTGGTTCGGGGATGAAAAGGAGGACTCCAATAACGTGGGTGTAAGAGATTGGATCAAAGCAATTAATGTACACAATAAAACGAATCGAAAAAGGTCCAGTTACTATCAATCAGGGCAAATGGAAAGTTGTTTCGTGTATTCGAAAAGGAGGATAAACTCTTTTTTTGTAGACCGAGAAAATACTGAGAAACAGAATAACCAATGGTGACGATTGCAGTCTGTCGCAAACGTGTGATGACGTACAGGATAAGAGTACCCTTTGCGACAATGAGACTGTAGAAAGGTAATGAATAAACTTCAGTGTGAAGCATTCCAATATTTTTGGATTGGGAAAACGCACTGTTTCTGTTCAAAACGGAAACAAATCACGAAAAGATTTAAGTGACTTGTTGATAGCTGGAGAACCTCGCCTATTGAACAGGCCAAAAAATCGGGACCAAATCAAAGAAATAACAGGTCAACTGATATTTTTCCGTACACAAGCACTCGACCCATTCATGATTTGAACCCAGGCATCAAATGGTTTGCCGTGGATATTTCCAAATATTCTATCTCAACTAATTCTCCGGCACTTTAACAATAACTGCTTTGGTGACTGTAAGTCGTCATGGATATGTGTTTTAAGCACTGAATAAATTTCCAGATTAGACAGATAAACAAGTTATAAATTTCACGTATCTTCTCGTTTCCAGTGCATCATTTTTCACTACTTATTAACATTTGATTCAACTGGAACGCAAACCAATAATCATCAGGTACTTTGCCTAACGAAGCACTTATACTATGGGGTGTTTAACTACGCACATGTATGAAACCCAAGAGACCAAGGTAGTCTTTAGAACCAATCACCTGGCAATGACAGTTCTACAGTGCTCATATACTCAAACCCTGTCACACTTAATCTACTATTTCATCTGCTCATTATTAGGTTTCCATATCTATATTGACCTTCTCCGGCAGAGCTGATTTTGCGGTTATTGTTGTCTGTGTCCCAACTAAGCAGAAGTAAAAATACCCAAGCAAAACTGTGGCAGTCCGTTCCTCTCGTTGAACGTCAAGCTTTTCTGTCGGGACGAAACTCACATTATCGGATAAGATCATTGAACCTGGATGGGCGCAACAAGAGCTCGATGAGTTTCATTGAACACGTTCGTGTATACAAATTTACACGGTTTTTCGACGATTGACACGATCCTTTGCACGAGTTAGTTCTACTCTTCAAAGATGAAAGCAGCTGAACAGAAGTTTGTTTTCTATCGGGGTGGGAATAACCTACAGTGTCTGCTCACAAATACAGAGCTAGTCAGTTATTTTATCTTGAAATTCCGCAATCTGTTTGTGCGACTGAGGATTTAGTGAACAGGAGAAAATAAATCCTACTTATTTAGTAGTTTCTCTGAGTGCACTGTACTTGATTTATGTGATCTTTTAGCACGTTCACTCTACATACTTCTGAGAGGGAGTTCTAATTGCTCAACATTTATCTTTCCCAGGAGCTGGACATCAAAAACGGAAAGTTTGTTTTATTCGGACGTGTATGCGAGTTCCTTCCTACGAGAACGACCGATTTGTGAGATGGTGTAATGAACCCGCAGGTTGCATCATGAAGTCGAACCGATAAACAAGCCGTGCGTGTTGCTGCTTCAGTCACTAACCACACACACACACACACACACACACACACACGCAGCAACACTCTTCTAAGGGTCACGTGATAACATGAGTCTGTGAAACAGATTATTT